GGTCCTGGGTTTGGTTCATGTTCACAAGGCTCACAGACAGTTGTAAGATCGGCTCCAAGGAATCTGATGCCCTCTTCTGGCATTTACAGGCACCTCCCACACACATGGCATGGGAGTGCGCGCACGCACGCACGCACGCACGCACACACACACACACACACACACACACACACACACACACACACCGCACGCACGCACGCACGCACGCACGCACACAGAAAAAATAAATGATGAAAATGACCTTACCAGCTCCCGGTGGACAGAGGCTTACACTCTGCCAGGGACCATTTGGTACAGAGAGCACCTATGGATTGCATATGGGCCATTAACCAGAGCATCAGCCTGAGAAGTGGTTATTCTCCTCATTTTACAGTTCAGGAAATGAGCCCCTGGGGGTCCTGCCCATGCTCACCCACCTAGAAGGGATCTGAACCTCGGCAGTCTGGTTCCCCAGCCAGTGTACATGCCGGCTATTGCTGTTCAGTAAGTGGTAAGCAGTAAAGGTTCCAGTGAAAGAGATGGGAGAGAGCAGGGAGGGGCTGGGTCACGTAGACTGCTTCCTCCAGGTGAGATTTCACACATTTTATAACCTAGGTATTGAGGACGTTTTCCTGTGGAAGTTTAATTTATACATGACTCCGGTCTCTATTTTTGTTAACAAATTGCTGGGCATTAGACTGAGACTTGGGTCAATGACGATGGACATCGGGGCTGGGACTGTCCTCACTGTAACCACTGCTCCCCACAGCAGCCACTCCATTCTGAGAGTGTGTAGATGGGATGTCGCTGGAGTTCACAATCTCTTTGGAGGAAGGTCATTTCACAAGGCTGGGGCTCCTTGGGGACACTCAGGTGCAGGGGGAGAAAGGGTAGGAATGGACTGGACATTAAATGGGGTGGAGATATATCTTGTTTGGGATGTGATATGTGTGTTGTTGTGTGTACATGTTCATGAATGTGGGTCTATGTACATGTGTATGTGCAGATGTGTGTAAGATCAGAGGTCGAGGTCAGATGCCACTTTATCTCATTTTACCTTGCTTACTTTTTGAGGCTGAGTCTCACTGAGGGTGGAGCTCTCTGATTCAGCTCACCCCAGCAATTTTCTACCTCTGCCTCCCCAGTGCTCAGATAACAGGCATGGTGGTCCATGGTTTTTTGTTTGTTTGTTTTTAACATGAGTTCTGGGGTATTGAACTCAGGTCCTCAGACTTGCATGGCAAGCATTTACTGATGGAGCCTCTTCCCAGTTCTCAGATGTGATTTTTGACGGTGACGATCCCTTCTCTTTACAGCTACCCTGCAATGATCAACTCTGACTCCAAAAAGAACTTGAAGCTTGCGGAGACACAGCAATACCCCAAATTGGTCATTGTGGAGAGGAAAGAGAGTTCCTCAAATTCCCCAAGTGAACTCCCGTCCACACAGCAAGAGCCAAGCCAATCAGCCCAGAACATAGTTTTAGTCTAAGCAACAGGGACAGGACACTGGGGCAGTGTATGGGGATGGGGGGTGGGGTGGGGGAAATGAATGCAGGGCAGGAGGAGCAAGTTTCTACTCCTGGAGGGGAGAGAGCATGATTCAGAGAGGGCAAGTGGGAGGGGGAGCTGAGTGAGCTCCTTGAGGGCCCCCAGTCCTGTGTGGCTGGAACCCATGAGAAGGCCATGGTTTGCATCTCCTCTTTGAGGGGTGGGGGGACACAGGTATGGTTTCTAAGCAGAAAGAGAGGGAAACTCAGCCTTATTTCCTTGGGAACTCAAGACTCAGCTTGTGGTGACTGAGGGGCTTGGACAAGGGCAGGCAATGTGATCATCATCAGCAGCAGCTCAGTCTCAGCTTTCCGAGCTAACTAGCAGCTAGCATTCCAGCTAGTTTTCCTGTTGAGGGGGACCACCACCCTCAAGGACACCCCAGAGGGGTGCTGGTCCTTCCCCTGCCAACACTGAAGAACTACCTGCACCAAGATCAAATTGATTTTAGGACAGCTTCAGTGCCAAAATATTAAGTCGTTCAGATTGTTCTGGGACCAAGACTTAGGACCAGGTCCTTGCCCGGAGGAGTGGGGAGTCTTGGTTTCTTTAGCGTCCTGGCACATAAGTCTCTGAGTCTCCCGTATACCTCCCTAGACTCCTCCTGTGGACTTGAGCTTGAGAGGGATGTTTCTGAGCAACTTTAGATCCTCAATGATTAGACCCTTGACCTATGATGCGGCTGCTGGAGAGGAAGATGGCTTAGTATGGCGGCACTCACCAAACTCTGGGTAAACTGCTTATTCTGTCTTTGCAACAACTTTACAAATTCTGGTACTATGCCTGCCTTGTAGAAGAGGAAGCCGAGGCACAGGTAGTAATTTGGCAGGGGCAGTAAGGCCTAACTGCAGAATCCAGGTCAATTCCAGACAGCAAGACTCTGGGGCTTTCATTCCCACACTGCCTGATCTTGCCTGATCCGGGGGCCCTCCCATCGGACCCATGTGACTCACTGATAAGGGGTCAAAGTTGATTCTGCCCTAGGGCCACGGAGATGCCCAATGACCCCTCAAACCCTTCCAGTACGCAGAGTCCAGACTAGTCAGGCACTTTTATGGTTTTAAAATGGAAACTGGTGTTGTGGCGTGCATTTGCAAACCCAGGGCTGGGGGTGTGGAGATGGGCAGACGTCTGGGCCTCATCAACCAGCTAGCTCAGCCAGGTTGGCAAGTCCCAGGTCAGTGAGGGACAGTCTCAGGTGGGTAGTACTGGATGATGCCAGGGACAACATCTGACGTTGTTCTAAGGCCTCTACACTTAACTGTACATACGTATAAGCACCCATACACCCTAACACACACACACACACACACACACACACACACACACACACACACACCTGAGCGCACACACACACACACACACACTTGAGCACCCACACACACACTTGAGCACCCACACACACACTTGAGCACCCACACACACACTTGAGCACCCACACACAAATTGTCACCCTTTTGTTCTTTAGTGCCTAGAAATATAAACGGTGTCATTTTAAGTCCCATTCACTCTATGCTTTGTGGGGACCCATTCCTTTTCCAGGAAGCCTCCCTTTACTTATCTGGTGGACACGGAATCTTTCCTGCCTGAACACACATGCAGACCCTAGTTCCTCTGCTCTGTTCACTCCCTCACACCTCTGCTTGCTCTCTTAGTTCTTGCTTTACCCTTCGCCACAGCAGGGCCCAGCCCGCAGGGGCACGTGAGCTCTACTTTCTTCTTGCAAGCAAATGCCCTTCTAGCATTGACTGATATGTTTAATGAATTCCATATTCCCAAACCCAAACTGACCAGACATAACACAGAAGCGGGTTTCTCCATATAAAGGGAGCAATGAGTCACAAATCCTGTCTTGAGAGGTCTCTTAACACCCCCATCCCTCACTGCCCCGCCCCCTTCTGTTGCGCCAATATTAACAGCTACTGATGGAGCCCCACTGTGCGCCCAGCCTCAATCCACCAGACAGCTTCCACAACTCAGAACTCTACCTCCATTGTCCCCACAAGAAACACTTCCAAGAGGTCACAAAGTCTGTGTAGAGTTAGATTCCAGACTCATGCTCTTAGCTTTGGGGTGTTTGTACGTCCCTATTTACTGGGGACACCTGTCTGGAGCCACCCAGAAGCTTTCGCGTCCTTCCTGTGGCTGGATCACTAGTGACTGCAGACAGTTCTTCTCCTAAGTGCACCCCCAGTGGGCTTCTATCCCTGGAGCTTTCTAGAAGCTGCTGCTCTGGCAGCAACACTTTCCCCGCCCCTCCCCCAACCCCCAACCATGTAGGAATGTTTGTTTCCAACTGTGTCCCTGGGATCAGAAGGAAACCCAGCTTGTTTCAAGGGGCTTTTCATCTGCAGGCGCTCCCAGAAGCAGCAAAGGACAGGAGGACACACTTGGATCCCCAGACTGGGATAACCGACCGCAGCTTAGAGAGAGCCACCCGACTGGGTGGGGGTGGGTCTCCACTTGTACTCCCCCCAGGGCACCTGTCCAGCTCCACCACCTCCGTTCCCTCCTATAGGTTTTAGCTAGGACCAGAGCCACTCAGAAAGAACACCAAGGCCGGCAGCCAGTACCCGGCCGGTCGGTTCCTTAGGCTCTGGCTCTGGCCGGATTCTGCCACGCTGTGAAGAGGCCAGGAAAACTTTCGCTAACGGCAGGCTGGCTGAAGCTGCGCTGGGCACCGGCAGTGCGGAGGCCTGAGCCGGGGTACCCCAGGCTTCCAGCCCAAAGGCTTGCCTTTCTTCCCTTCCCGCGGGTGCCGAGGTTCCCGCTGCGCCCCCACACCTGGAGCACATTAAGTGGTGGCGGGCGTTTCAGTGACAGCGGCTTCCCCCCGAATTGCTGAATAATTGCATAATTCCGAGCGCGAGCTGGGGACACTGCTCTTGTCGAGGATCTTTCCCACCGGTCCTGGGCTGAGGGATTGTGCCCGCTGCCTGAGATCCGGCTGAAGAGGGCTTGCCAACGCCTAGCGGCTGAACTGGAGGGACTCAAGGTCTTTCAGGGTTCCTAGTTCTCCGGGCCGCCACAGTCTGGCTCTCCAGACTTCGGGATGCTCCGCCTCGGGTGGCAGGAGAGCTGTCGGGTCACACTCGCTCGGCGCGATCTGTCCCCTTCCCCAGCTGGGGCCTTGGACCCTGGCAATGGAGGGATGCCCGAGTGGCCCGGTGGACACGTGGGAACTTGTTCCCACAGCTGCATCGGGGGGCACCTAAGGTGCTCAGTTGTTCCAGCAGCTAAAGTCGCTTCTTCTTGTCCCAAACACACCAAAGTCCTAGAAAGACTTTCCTCGGCACACCTCCCTCCTTTGCTATCTTGGCGGGACAGTTTAACTGCAGCGGGTTCGTCAGACCTGTGTCCCCAAGTAGTGCCAGGGGAGGCGCGTCTCATCTTTCTCCTCACAGCTGGAGCAGAGGTCCTGGAGGACCAGGGAGCTCCCGGAAGCAAAGGGAGGCGAGGGGGGAAACGTACCTGGCCAGAGGCTGAGTGTCCAGGCCACCAGGAGGCCCCTAGGCAGGTTCATGGCCCGCGACGCGGCGGCGGGTGTCGCGATGGTCGCGGGGCTGCGAGCCAGAGCGACAAGCCACGGTCGGTGCGCGGCCGTCCGGAGCCTGCACTGCTCCCGGGCTCCTGCTCCCTGACAGCGGGCGCAGAGGAAGTGGGAGGGCTCTGGCGGCGGGGAGGGGCGCAGACACGCGGCGGCCCTGGCTCCAGGCCAGTCTGGGCCCCTCTGCCACCTGGGCCAGCAGCAGGCTGCTGCCCCGACGCCCTCCATGTCCCCCCACCCAGCCCCATCTAGGCTCAGGATCATAGTAGATGATGATGGTTCCTGGGAGCCAGCCACCTTGCCGGTGCCGCACCTGCCCGTCCTTCATCCCCAACCAAATCAGGGTCTGCCAGGAAAAGTGAGTTATGGTGTCCATTTTCTAGGCAAAGAGCTGCATAAAGACCATAGGGAACCTGAGATGACCCGGGGCCACTCTGTGACAGGTCTCTTTTGGACAAGTTGGATGGATTCCCCCTCCTCAAACCATTTTGACACACTCCTTTGTCTCCCTGTTTCCTGGGCTTAAAATGTCAAGGCCCCCTGGGCGGTGGTGGCTCACCGCATACTAGAGGCAGAGGCAGGCGGATCTCTGTGAGTTCGAGGTCAGCCTGGTTTATATCGCGAGATCCAAGACAGGCACCAAAACGACACAGAGAAACCCTGTCTCGAAAAAACAAAAACAAACTAACAAACAAAAATGTCAAGGCCACAGTGCTTCTTGGGACCCTGGAACAAATGCAGACTGCCTCCAACTTCCACTGTCCCAGCCTCACACCTAAACAATTCCAAAGTGGCCAGGAGGACCAGGGACCACGTTTGGTGGTCCACAAAGCATCTCTTTGGGACCCTGACACTACTCCCTAGTCACTGTAATCATGGACAGTCAACTTCAATGCACATTTATTGCCTGAGCTTCTAATCAGGTTTTGGGTCACAGTCTGCGCATGTGGAGGCTGGTCTTCTCAGCAAGGAGGACTCGAGGAAGCCAGCAGGGTAGCCAGTATGGGCAGAAGCTAGAGTAGAGAGAACCTTCCCAAGGCCTCAAGTGGATCTGCAGACACGGCACATGAAATACACTTGTCTTCACTGTATTTCACACACACACACACACACACACACACACACACACACACACACCACCACCAACAACAACAACAACAACAAACCCTAAATGACAATTAATGTATTTGTTTGCTCTCTCTCTCTCTCTCTCTCTCTCTCTCTCTCTCTCTCTCTCTCT